GCCTGGTGTGCATGGCACTGGGCTCTGGGAGCGTCCTGAAAAGAGCAGGCTTCCCACCAAATGCCCGCGGTAAGAAGGATGGTGAAGGAAGGCCCTGTTCTCTGGGTAGGCCCTGGGCCCTATAGCAAAACACACAAACCAATATCACACACTGACCCTGGCAATCGACAATCTAATGGTAGTGATACAGTTCAAAATAACAGGCCAGCCAGAGGTATGATGATTAAGGAAACTGGATCTTGCATGGCCATTTGCGTGGTTCGAGTCCTGAACCTGGTAGCCTGAAAAAATAATGTATGGGGCATGTGTGTCCAAATCTCAATGGGAGAAATGGAAGAGAAGGAATTGCAGTGTGACTGTCCTTCATAGGAGGCATTTTTCACTTTCTCTCTCTCTCCCTGTGAGTGCAGTACACCCTCTAGCAAATTAAAAACATATACATATATATGTGTGTGTGTGTGTGTACATATATGTGCATATATGTAAAATAGTAAGTAATGTGACTGTGGGTGGCCCCGTAGCTTCTTGAGACTCAGTGTTTTCATCAAGCGGATGGTTTAATAAGGTTCTTGTGAGGATTAAACTTGAAATATGCTTGGCAAAGTGACCCAAGAAGAACTCTGAACTAACTGCTATTATTATTATTATTATTATTCCCACTATCATTATTTATAAGTGATGCCTGTATGGGAAGATTCATCTGGTGGCCTTGTTTGTTGAAGCTGCTGCTGCTGCTCTGAGCACATGTGATGACGGCTCCATGTCCCTTCCTGTATTCCAGGGCCCAGGCAGGGAAACTAAGGCCTTCTGGGTTTACCCTGGCTGTGAAACTTCTCCCAGGTGTGGCACTGAGATGTGGGCCACCTTGTCATCTCTGCTGGGGCAGCCAGAGACAGGGCCCTGGAGGTGCCAGGGCCCATCTGAGTAGTGCCTTAGAAAGGAGCAGAGGCAGGTCCTGGAGTCAGGCAGCCCTGGCGGGAGTAGACAGCAAGCTAATTCCAGTTCTGTCTGGTTCCACAGAAACTCCACCCCTACGGCTCTCTCCAGCAGGAGATGGGGCTGGTCAACTCAACCAATGCTACCCAGGATAGAAGCGTTACCTCATCAGGACAGACTCTGATTGGCTGAGCAAACCCAAGGGCGGGACTCTGCTTCTGGCAACTTAACCCTTTCTTGGGCATCCCCTACCACACAGTAACCTCACCTCAACTGGACCCAAAATGGAGGACCAAGATGGTGGGCCTAGGGTCATCTGAAGGGAGTGGTCACAAGGGTGTGTGTGGACTGGAAACAGGAGGACCCCAGTGGTTTGAGGTCCTGCGGGTGTGTGCAGAATGACGTCAGCAAGACTCAAGTGGAGAAGATGCAGAAGTTCATTCCCTCCAAGGAGCAGGAGGCTAAATGGCATCTGGGCTTCCGGTGGTGGTTCCAGCATCTGCCTCAGGGGCAGCAGGAGAGGTCGCCCCTGATGGAGAACAGTGCCACGATCAGCTGCCACCAGAAGACATCGCCACCCACTCACTCATTTGTACACATTCAGTCATTCATTCAGTAGAGATTTGGGGAGTACCCACTTTATGCTGGGCTCTGTGCTAGAAGCTGGGGATACCGTGGAGAACAAGATGGACGTGGTCTCTGCTGTCATCAAGATTTCGGCCCAAGTAGGGAACAAGCATTACATAAATCAGCGCCAACACACACACAGATGCACACAGGTGACTGCAAACGGTGATAATCCTTGAAGGGAAAGAAGGTTCCTTTAGGAAGGAGTTGTCTTCAGATGGCTTTGTGTGGGAGTGGGGCAGGGGAAAGGACATAACTTTTAAGCTGAGACTTGGGAAGAATGTTCCAGGGAGATAGAGCAGCATGTGGAGAGTATCTGAGACAGGGAGGAGCGTGGTGTGCTGGAGGGAGGCGAGCCAACCAATGTGGCTGGAGCTTAGAGAGGAGAGGCGAGGGGGGGGGCAGACTGTGAGGACTATTAATGCTTTATCGGTTTTATTCTAGATACAGTAGGGAGTCATTGAAGGCTTTTCAGGCAGGAAATCACAGTGTTGAGGTACATTTCTCCAGGACCAGATTGTAGATGGGAGGGACCCACATGGTTATGAGACCAGTTATGGGCCTCTTCAGTCCTCCAAGTGAGGGGCAGTGGTACCCTGTCCCGGATGGTGGCTGGGGCAGTGGGTATGTGAGTGCTAAGCTCTGGGATGGGAAGAGATGCTTCTCTGTGCCTCCAACCCTCACCTGCCCTTATCCTCCACCATGTCTTGCTCTCTGTGGATGAGTGAGGACTGGGGTTGTCCTCATAGAACCCTCTTTTGGCAAGGACTGGCTAGGGACCAGTACGGAGTTCTGGGAGCATCCCAGAGAGCTGGGAGCAGTGAGTGCTCAGCCTGGCCACGGAGGGAAAAAATCAGCCCTCAGACCTTAGCAGGGTCTGCCTGGGCTGGCCTTCCACCCTATACTGAGCAGTCTGTGGGAAGATGGAACGCAGTTTCCAGTGTTCTGGAAACTGGCTAGGTTTGCTCTTCGTGGAGCTCTGAAGGGATCAAGACTGTGGCCCAGCGTGGCTCAGCAGCTCTCGTGGAGACCGACCAGCATGAGGCAGAAGGGAGACCATCAACAAGACAGCGACTGGATCCCAGCTCACCTACCACCTGCCCTAAACCCAGCTGGGGCTCAGGCTAGGTTCCTGTCATACCCTTTTCCTACTGCCAAGACCAGAGAGAGGGAAGCCTGAGGCCATGGACCTGGGGAACGTGGAGCTTGTGCAAAAGGCTATCTATAGGATCGGGGTCGATTGCATAGGAGAAAGGAGTCGGAGAAGCTGGAAGGATGGCTCAGGCCAGAGACCCTGTGGCCCTGGATACTGCCTGTGTTGTGTCGTGGAAGACCTCAGTGTCTTTAGAAAAGGGCCTGTGCCCTCATGAGCGTGATCAGCTGCTTGGCCACTTGAACCCAAACACCACGGCCTAGGAGAGAGTATGCCCTTTCCCTCCTGCTTTTCCTGTTTCCGATCTAGGAACGATGAGATATGTTGAACCAGTGGTCTAATGTGGGTGGGATGGCTCAGCCTGTGGCCAGGCCCATGCCCACCCCACCCCAGCTGGGGAAGAGATGCTGCCTGGACTGGGACAAGTGATACAGAGCATCGCTGTCAGCCAGGGCTCAGCCCGCAGGGTGCATTCTGAGAGGCTGACAGCTGGGTCTGTGCAGACGGCAAGCTGCACTTTGATTTCATTTGACTCCCCTACAAAATAACATTAAGGCGAATGCGAGGCCCAGGAGAATTGCCTGTCTGGAAAGGCAGCGAGCTTGTTTCTCCTGGACCTGGTGACCTACCTTCGTCTACCAGATAGGTGCAGAGGACAGGCCAGAGCTCTGGCTGCAGAGGAGAATGGAGCACCTGAACACAGCACCCAACCCTGGGACCAGGCCTTTCCTCCCAGCTTGTTGTGGCAAACATCTGCTCAGGAGCCCAGGCCTGGCCTGCTGAAGGGAAACCGGACATCGAT